ATTGCAGATAAGATGGTATGTGAAACTCCAAAGGTTGAGAGAGAGAGATGCATGTGAGGACTTAATACACGTGGAATTCAGAGTAAATTGTCTCAATTTTCTTTGAAGACTATTAAGAACAACTCTGTTAAATCTGTCTTACTAGTACGTATATATTCTCTCTGTATGTGTGTCTGTGTGTACATGTCAGTGTGTTTTTTTTACACGTTGATAAACAAATAAATTTTATACCATGTGTATATGCATCAATGAAACCACTACATTGAAATATTTATTCGTAAGAATTGTTTATTTTTCAGTACGACAGTAAACCCCTGGTCATAGTAGGACTCCTCATCACGGGGCTGTGTTGCTTACTCCTTGGACCTTCTCCTATATTAGGCTTTCCCAAAGACTATCAGTTAGTACTGTTCTACAAGGTTCAAGAGTAAAATTATTGAAAAAGTCCCAAAGTCTTTTTTTATATGTCTGCATGTCATTCTAAGATACTTACTTTACCAAATACAGACTTTAAAAATGATAAAAGTCTTCGTAACCTGATGTTGTTATTTTCATTAAAAACAAATTATTTGGGTTTTTCCAGTGATCATTACTGGGAGAAAACTGCTCATTTTAAGAAAATTTTATTTATAAGGGGAAAATCACATATAGGAAATTTTAACTAACATATTAATTGCACAGTTAGTAAGACTAACAGATTTAGCTTATGTTTCACCTTTGACCTTAAGGTTAATTGTCAGTTCGTACAATGGGACTGTTTGTCAGCATGTTTGACTTTTGATTTTGTCATTTCAGTGAGTTGTGGCTGGACCTAGTGTCAGTGTCAGTAATGGGGTTGTCAGTCAGCATGTCAGTTGTACCGACCTTTGACCTCATGATGTGGGTGGCAGAGTAAGTGCAGGATTGACCAATAAGAAACCTCCAACGTCTCACATGATTAAAAAAATGATAAGTTTCTGGTATTCCAGGGTATGCACAGTCCTAGGACACATATCACAGTGTCGTAATTGGTAAAATGTGGGGATTGAAGTTTGCACTTGGTCTCATATAGATTGATAAAGCATCACTTGCAAATTTATATATACAAATTATATATGCTGAAAAGCATATAGCTTAGCATATAGATTTTGAAACAGTAATTGAAAATGCCATCAGCAGTATGCGTGATGCACTCAGGTGCTATAAATAGAATATTTACAATCTAGTAATGAGTCAGGATGTGGAGTGGGCTAAAACAATTTATCAATGTATGTCCTCCCTTCCTTCATTTATTAATTTATTTATCAAAGAGTTTTTTATTCTTATTCCCCTCAGGGACGCAGGGCTAGATGAGAGTATAGGGACGTATGGTCTAGTAGCAGGGCTTTGGACAGCTGCATATGCCTTAGGGTAGGTGGAGTATAGTTATTTCAGCAATATTCTACAGAAGCTTAAGCATAATATTTGAAAACAAGCTTCACTATTTGACTACTGATTAATGATTTGAAAAAGAAAGATGGCACTTGTAATTAAACCCCTGATACTGTTGCACCAAATACATTGTCATATCAGCCACACTGTCACATCTAACACACTATCATATCCACCACACTGTCACATCTAACACACTATCATATCCACCACACTGTCACATCTAACACACTATCATATCCACCACACTGTCACATCTAACACACTATCATATCCACCACACTGTCACATCTAACACACTGTCACACATAACACACTGTCTTGTCTTAAAACTGTCACACCTAACACATTGTTCTGTATGAAACACTGTTACACCTAACACACTATGTCATTTCCTACACATTTTCTCACCCAGTGCACTATTACAGTTAATTTGTCCATTTGTATATTTCAGAGAATTTATAGGCCCAGTAGCTGGTGGATACTTTCTAGATACGGTTGAGTTCACGGGGGAGATGAACTTTATTGCTTTGGGCTGTGCAGTGGTTGTAAGTTATAATAATTATTATTTTTATATTTAATATGTAACTTAGAGGTGAAGTTAAATGAAATTGCATTTACTAGATTGTAAATTACAAATTTTTTATCATACTCAGTGCTTTTTATATTTTTAAAACCACTATTCAGAATGTATTAATTTATTTGCTTGTGCATTTTATAATCTCGCTGTTTAATGGGTTGATCTTTCAGTCTGTTTTAACCTTCCTTCTTTGGCTCTATGAAAAGTTATGCAAGAAAGGAGAGGAAGACGAAGAGGAAGAGGAAGAGAATGCTGGGAAAAATAAGGAAGACACAAGCCCTCTTTTGACCTCTTATGATATTCTTACAGCCTCAACCAATACACGACCCATGTTAAATGTCAGTCATTTGCCATCTACTGGCTATTTCCATGAACCCTAGTCAGCCTTAACTGCAGGAAAATGGTCCATTTGAGTCCAACAAATTGGCATATGGAGCCTGCATGAGGTTGTATTTTTCCCAAAATATATTGCTGGTGAAACTAAAAGTAGCAATAAATTGTTTGTCCCAGGATTTTGAAAATCTTCTAGTTGGACAAGAGGCTGATGCTGCCAATCCTTTGTTTTGTTCTTCTCATCTTGAGGTTATGGAGGATTTAAAACTTCCCGTAACAGAAAAAAGGAGAGATTTGATTGGGAGATGCTGTTCAGGAAGGCCTGTAAGGAAAATGGTAACTGAAGAAATTGACTTGTGATGTGCTGAAAGCTACTAGTCCTGTCATTTCAAATAAAGGTTATTACATTAATTTTGTGGATCAAAAGAAAGTGCTGATGGCCAAAGAGATATTTATGATTAAAATGTAAGCAACTGTGTGATAATTAGCTCTATTCCCATTGTATACCTCTTATTTATCTTTTCAGGCATAAGATTGAATGTTGCCAAGTAAAAAGTAAATTTCAAAAATATGATATGTTATATATTCCAAAAGTAAAGAACATGACAGAGTTTTGCCAAAGTAAAGTTACATATCTGTATTATTTTATCGTAAAATAAGGGGATTTTTTTAATTTGAAAGTTTAATTTAAAGGTTTTATGGATATTATTTTTAATCACACTAGATTATTTCATTTCAAGTAATTTAACTTGCTATGTAATTTGAACAAAACCCATTACTTAATTTATTGAGTTATTCACAATTAATGGTTATTGCTCATTAAGAAAAGATCTGTCATACATATCAGTGGATTAATATTATAAAATTGTCTATTTTATTTTGTAGATACTGGTAATTTCAGAACTGATAACATATTTTCAAAGGCAATGTTATCAATTTTTAATAAGTTCAAGGAATGTTTATGTTGTTCTAGAATTTGATGCTGTAAAAAAATTATGAGTCAGTGTTGGTTGTTAGAGTTCTCTTAGTTGATGTGATATAGCACAAGAATCTTGTCATAATAGGAACAAATTTGCAGTCCCAAAGTACCTAAGATTTGCAGTCGATTATAATCATAAATTGTATTTGTGTTCCTTAAAGATATCATGCAGTATTTATATATCCTGATGAGTGAGGGTCATTTAATATTTTCTCATGAATTAAACAAAACAAGATTATAGATGATAAAAGATTACAGACCACCATTGTTCTTAATTCCCTGCAGTAGAAATTAACCCTGGTAAAAATAAGGCATAATAACAAACAGATTTAATTCTTGATTTTAAAACCTAACTATAAATACAACAATTTTTTTATATCTCCAATCATCATTTTATTTAGGATGAAAGGGAGTAATGCTGCAGGAATGTATCACTGTGAGCAACTGCATAATTTTGTCAGAGGGGGATGTTAGGAGGATGGTGACAGAGATTTTAGATAGGGTGTAATGAAACTGAGGGTACGTGAAACAGAAAGTCTGCCCTCCATTTAGTTATAATGGTTAAGGTTAGCCTGACCTAAGTGGGTCAAAATGTAGGGCAAGTGAATGTGACATGGACTTTCTATCACACCAGACTTTCTGTCATATTACAAGGGCACCAAAGTATCAATGTCAGCCTGTCAGGTATTTTTATTTGAGGAATTTTATCATTTTTAAGGTCTGGTTTTGGAAAAATAAGTAGTTTTGCAGATTATACAATCATTAATCCCAACTTTTTTCTCATATTTAAAATTTTACTTTCATCATTTTTAAAGGAAACATGCCATATATGTGGTATTCAAGAACAAAAAGTGTATTACCTCTTGAAATATAGATAGAAGGAAAATAAATTAATTTTAATTTCTTACTTGCTTACATATGTTTAAGCACTACAGCCAAAGCTCCCAAGCACACACAACTTATTTTTTTAATGAAACGAATAATCCAAATATATTTCCGCTTGCATTTTTTAAATTTTATTTATTTATTAATTTTATTATTATTATTATTTTTTTATATTTATTTATTTATTTATTTATTTATTTATTTATTTATTTATTTATTTATTTATTTTTATTTTTATTTTTTTTTTGCATTACATTACTGGTCCTAACTTCTTAGTTTATAAATATAATTACATATTTGTGACAGGCCGGTCGTGGTCGATTTAAACACATGATCACTTTTTCTTCAAACAATACTTTCTACTATACGGGGGGGGAGGGGGTCTTCTTTTTGCTTGGAGATCGGAAAAGCCAAGCACTAGATGGCGCTACAGTACTTGCAAGTCCGGGATCGTCTTGGTAAATATGGCAACCTCCAGCGCAAGGGAATCTGTTCTTCATCTTCTGAGGGCGATTTCTGCAGCATCGTAAGCATAATTTCGATTTTTCTACCGAATTTGCAAGCCTTTTGCATTTCCTATTCATGTGCACTGCATGTCAACGATTTTTTTGTGCACTCCTATACTCTTTGTTAGGATAAACGTGCCCTACCTTTCGAACCTGTGTAAACTGTTACATAATAACGTTTATATATAGCATAAAACTTTTAAGCCCACCCACCTAAAGCAGCTGAACAGCTGAACGATTGATTATAAATAGGAACCCTGTGCTTACCTGTATATGTGAACTGTGTGTATAAGTTTTGCTTTTTCAGATGTAAATGTCCGGCCCACTCTCAGTCTCATTCGTTGGCTGTTGCAGGTCAGTCCCATTACTCTCTCTCTCTCTCTCTCTCTCTCTCTCAGTTGTGCATAAAAGGTTCAGCTTTAAATTTTGTCTGAACTCAGTTTTTAACTACCAAATTGCCACCATTCACTGTGCTAAAAATATTTTTCTTCCCTCAGATACAATTTTTTAAATAATATTAAATTTTTAGTATCAATAGAAATATATATAGTTGTTTAAAAAAGAAAATGAAAACTAAAATTCATTTTAATTTAATTAGTGATAATCGTTGTATCATTAGAAAATAATCAAGTGTCACAATTTATGCCATTTACAGATGTTCTTTTTTTTTAAGCTGGAAATAAAAAATGTATGGCCACAGGGGTAGAAAGCAAAGAATATGCATTTGAGGTAAGTAACAACAATACAATCAATATGCAGTAAAATGTTAAAATATAATTTAAACTTCATTGGTAGATAAAATGACTGTAGTTATTCATTCTAATAGGCTGAGTTTCTACATTTAAATTTGAAATCAAGTGAAAAATAATATTCAAAAATTAAAATGACTTGCGCTGAATGCTATCAGATAAACATATTAGCTCACCACCTTCTGGCATTGAGTAGAAAGCAGAAAAGCTGACGATTGTATGTTGGAAACAAGAGGAGGCGTGTTAATCTGTTAATCTGATTGCATTCAGTGAGAGTCCACACACAGATGGATCAATCTACTAGTACGTAGATGATAGTTTCATTGGGAATAAGCTCAAAATCGCCCTAATTATCCGATTAAACATATTTCAGATGGCATGTTCAAATATCCGCTATGGAGAGGGGGTCACACAGGAAGTGGGAATGGTAAGTTAAAGAAGTCTAGAAGTTTTTATTTCTGCAGGACTTTTGAAGCATATTAAACTTTCATTGTAAAAGTAATAAAACTTTAGATGATCAGTTTTGTGTTTTTATATCAAGTAAAAGGCGTTGTAAATATTGTACTTGTTACAAAATGAATAAATAAATAAATAAATAAATAGATAAATAAATAAATAAATAAATAAATAAATACTTCCAGGACTTTGCCAACATGGGAGCTAAAAATGTCTGTGTTGTGACGGATCAGAATTTAGCCAAACTTCCGGTGATGCAGACAGTGACTGACGCCCTCCACAAATCCAAGGTCAACTTTCAGGTGTTTGACAGGGTGCGTGTTGAACCCACAGATAGCAGGTAAGGCAGGTGTGACGTGATTGTGATCAGCCCCTCATAACAGTCCCACAGTTTTTTTTCTATGTCACAAGTCTTTTAATGCATTTCAATATAGATAAACTTAACTCACAATGTGAAAAGGGCCTAAGGCCTAAAAAGTAAATCATGTTTTTAAGACAAGAAAAAATAAGACAAGGAATTTTTTTTTTCTGTACGAGTTTTAATTTTGATATATGTATGTTGAAATAGTCTGGTCAGTTTGGTTATGTTGTCTTATCACAAAGTAATATTTTTATTATAATCAAAGATATGTTTCAATGTCAGTCTAACATCTACAGTTTGCAATAACATCACTACA